ATCAGCAGTAGTTCTGAGCATTCAGCAATGCTGACAGATTCTATGTGGCTCATACAAGCAAGGCTGTTACTCCATGCTCAAAAAAGTGAGACCTCTCTAGAGAGCCTCTGCTACAGAGCTCAGGACTCACTTGTGACTGTGTCTTCTTCCATCTCTTCTTCGCCAGCATCACTTGGTCCTGATCTGGGCTTTCTGCCAGGTATCTGGCCGGACTGTAGCAAGCCCTTCAGCCTCTCCACCTCAGCCAACGTCGTCGAGTTTGCAGTGGCATCCTTGATGGCTTCTCCATCCCCTGCAGATGGCCCACCTTCCTTTTTGTCAGTTGGCAAACCAGCACCTGGGTTAAAAGTTTTGTTTCTGCTGGCAATGTCCTTTGCAAGCTGTGCACCACCCCGTTTGCCCTTGAATATTTTCTCTGCTTCCTGACGCTCTTTTAGTTTCACTTTCTGGAAGTCCAGTACTCTGACTTGTGAGACTTTATGGATGACGTAAATTTGGTAATGCTTCTTATTTGTTACAGGATTTCTTAGGATGCTTAGATATGTCAGTGACTTGAGAGATGCCAAAGGATCCAGATCACCCAGTTCCACTAGACAGTTGTTGGTGAGGATGAGCTCTGTCAGACAGGGAAGAGCCTGATCAAGTCCCTCACCTGTAGGGCACATTCTGTTGTTGTTCACTAGTAATGTTTTCAGTCTTCTCAATAAAGGAAAACCATCCAGTTTCCTGATCGCATTGTCAGAAAAGTCAATAGCATCAAACTTGTCTAAGGTAGCACCTGGATTTTCAATGACAGGAATTTTATATCTGTGAAGGTCCAGCTCGCGGTCCTGCACAGCATTGGTGTACTGTGTCGCCTGCTCAGTCAGCTCCGCCATCAGCTTCACCATTCTGCCGCTGCCCGAGTCCCCTCACCTCAGCCACCGGCCTGTGCCTCCTGCCAGTGCCAGGTCCCAGAGTGCCTATTATATGTAATTTTACTATGTTAAAGTTAAAACCTTCCAAGTTAAAACCTTCCTTTTTCATTAAATAGAGAAGGGGAAATGCGGTGGGATAATGCTTTTGTATACTGGTTTAATAAAACACTAATTGGCCAGCAGCCAGGCAGGAAGTATAGGCCGGATAAGCAAGCAGACAAGGAGAATTCTGGCAAGAGGAAGGCTGAGTCAGGGAGATGCCAGCCTGCCATCCAGGGAGCAGCACGTAATGGCACACAGGTAAAGCCACAGAACATGTGGTGACATATAGATGAACAGAAATGGGTTGAGTTAAGTGTAAGAGCTAGTCAGTAGTTAGCCTGAGCTAATGACCAAGCAGTTTTAATTAATGTAAGCTTCTGTGTGTTTACTTGGTGCTGAGTGGCTGCGAACTGGTGGGACACTGGAAAACTCCAGCTACAGAAATATTTAACTATGATTTAATTAGTAGGTCCCTTCTTAACAAAAGTGTAGGGCATTCTGTTATGTAAAGGAGTGGACAATAATATAACAGACTTTTTAAGTGAGGAAAAGTTAAGCATCTCACCTTAGGATTCTATTTACTCCTGTTTTAGAGCACCCTTGCTTCAGCAATGTTCCAGTAGGTTGAGTCAGGACACATTATGCAGATCCAACTTTGAGGCATGGACAGTCTCATCTGCCACATTGAGAGTGAGCCAGCTCTCCTGTAATGAGATGCTGGTCTGGGTTCTTGGGACCCACTATGATAAGGATCCCATCACTCCATACTAAAGTCCCTTTTTGGTAAAACCAAAAGGAATCTTCAGCTTAGAGTGCCAAAAATATATGTAGTCTAGTCTCTCTCTCTCTCTCTCTCTCTCTCTCTCTCTCTCTCTCTCTCTCTCTCTCTCACACACACACACACACACACACACACATATGTATGTAGTATTGCTAGTATACTGGATACTTGAGCACCTGAATTAAATGTATTAAGTATAAAATATTTAAATTTTGTAGCATTAAATATAAAATAATAACTAAAAATAATAGAAAAATTTCTATCAAAATAAACCTTTTATACTGTTATAGATTATAGGATGCTGTATTTGAAATATCTTAATGTCTAGCAGTTAGAATCTATCATAAATGTCTAACAATTATATCTAAAACTATGCCTTCTAGATGCAAACCCCTCCATGTGTCACCATAGTTTTAACCCAGGATGGATGGGCCTGGAAGGTCTTCCTGTTCTCCTTGGCTGGAATGGGGTGTAACTATTTAGGTACATTGAAATGGAAACACAGGAGAAAACCAAAGAATCTTAAGAATATTGGTTCTGCTTCTATATAATTAGAGCATAAACATTTTACCAGATCTTAGTGTCCTTATGCTGACTTTCATTTGATGTGTGGCAGGATCCACCACATAAAGGATGTTTCACTTCCCAATAAAACTAGCCTGGGAAGCAAGCCTTTACCACATGGACCCCGGGGATTAGTTAAGATCCAAATGACAGCATATTTTTTTTCTTCAGTGTTTTACTTTTCCCCAACCTCTCATCATTTCACTTTCATGCCTCATGTCAACATGATTAGAATCACAGAGTGCCCAGAGCTGCCTTTGGGTAGGAGAGGTTGTGCATATGCACACTTTGATGCAGTCAGTTTTAATGTTTACTTATTATCGTGTACATGATACGTGTATATATGGTGTATATATGTGAGCCTAGATATGTGAAAGCCACAGGACAACTTTGTAGAGTTATCTCTCACCTTTCACATCTCTGTGGGTTCTGGACATCAAAATTGGTTATAAGGATTTCTGGCAAGCATTTTTGCTTGCTGAGCCATCTTGCCATGGTGCTAACACATCTGTATACTCAGATGTGCTATCTGCTCTTTGAAAGTACAGGTTAGTGCTATTCTAATGTTAAAGGCCAAGAAGACTAGATCTCTCATCCACCATGACTGTCCTTGTTAACATGGTGCACATGTCACTCATCCTGGAGACACAACAGCCATTTCACTTGTTCTATGGTTTCTCTAGTGAAGAATTGGTATAGAGCACAAATAAATGGTATTTGGATCTGGAAGTGATTAGATGTCTGGGCCAAACTCCATTGGATATATCTTCATCCACATGTCTATACCTGAGATTGTTATGTACTGACTTCCAAACTCACCTTTTGACTACCAGATGCATGTTAATAATATGCTGTGTTCACAATCACTAGTTAGGGTTCTTTCATAGTGTAGTGGCTGGGATGCAAAATAAACATTCCAAGAAGGAAAGATAGGAATGAACCCTTTGATTATCAAGCCATGAGAAGTTACAATTGCCATTGTCACTGTGTTTTGTAGAACAGTTTTTAGAGTCTACCTAGGCCAAAGGGAAGTGATGGATTCCTTATCACCTTGAAGGGATATCAAGGTGCATTGTGTAAAAAGTGCACATGCATAAGTATGCATGTGTGTGTGTGTGTGTGTGTGTGTGTGTGTGTGTGTGTGTAAAATGATTTTTCCACCATGGAAGATTTAATTTACAATTATTTCAGAGGTGGTGAGCAGCAGAATATGTAAATTAGAGGAGAAAATATACTTTATTAAAAGTATCAAGGGCAAGCAAAATGCTCTATATATCCATTTTATATGATTTTATAAATTTGAGGATAATATATACAAGTGAAGTCATGGCAATTTATGTCAGAAACATCCACCATCTCTAAAAGTATGTTCTCTAATGATTTTTACCCAACTTGCTAATTTCCCATTTACAATGATTAAATGACCCAAGAAAAGATATTTAATTAAGGAAAGGTTTATATTGGCTCACACTTCCAGGGTCTTGTCCATTGTGACAAGGGAGTCATGGTGGTAGGAGCTGGAGCAGTTGGTCACATAGATCTGTATTCAGAAAATCAAGAGAGTGACTAGTGTAGTTGGAAGTATTCTTGTGTTCCATCCAGTCGGCAGTCAGGACAAATCTCTCACTGGTGTCCCCCAAGTAAACATACAGAGGCTTATATTAATTATAACTGCTTGGCCATTAGCTCAGGCTTATTACTGACTAGCTCTTACATTTAAATTAACCCGTAATTCTTATCTATGTTTAGCCACATGGCTTGGTACCTTTTCTTAGTCTGCCTTGTCATCTTGCTTCCTCTGTGTCTGGCTGGTGACTTCTGACTCAGCCTTCCTCTTCCCAGAATTCTCCTCATCTGCTCGCCCTGCCTATACCATCCTGTCTCGCTACTGACCAACAAGTATTTTATTTACCAGTCAACCAGAGAACATATTCACAGCATACAGAACGACATCCCATACTACTTCCCCTTTTCTGTTTAATCAAAAAGGGAGGTTTTAACTTAACATAGTAAAATTACATATAATAGAACAGTTATCAAGCAAGAATTACAGTTACAATATCTAGTCTATTTGTATTTCGTGAAATTAAAGAAAATATTCTATCTATCCTATATGTGTGAGTCTAAAGTTTCATATCTAATTTATCTTTTATCATAACCAAGGAAAATTATAATTATAACTATCTAGTCTTCAACTACATTAAAGACCTCAGAAGGATATAATATTACCTAAGTAAACAGAAAACACATTGTAAATAACTTCCAAAATTCTGGAAATGACATCTGCCTGCCTGGACAGTCATCCAAATTTCTTTTGTAACATTGGGGCATCCATCTTTAGCCTATAGGCCTAGAGTTTTTTGAATTGCTTCTCCCTGTGTCCTGTAAAATATCTGATGGTCTACTCTGTGGAGCAGGAAACTGAAGGACCATCTCACCTTGTTTTGGGAAAATTTAGTGGTCATTTTTCCATGGGTCCTGCATGTCTAGTCTATACAACATTTTCCAATCAGTCTAGGCAAGAACAGTTTCTTGCACAAATGGCCAGTTCTGCCAAGAAGAAGATACACTCCGTATGGAGTGTCTTTGATGTCCATGTTCCTCTTTGAAGTAAATCAGTGCTGCCAGGAGCAGATGTGTCTCATTGTCCAGAAAGTCTAAGTTTTTAAAACATTTTAGATGCCATATTTTGTAGGTCTTTGAAGTTTTTGAAGACTACCCACCTAACTGAAATATATCTATGTATACCTAGAAAACTTAACTAACATGACTGTAAGTGTAATTATCATAGATGACTAATTATTAATCTGTATTTCTTAATTATACATTACCATTTCAAATGAGCTGTACAAACATAATACCTTGAACAAGAGTAGAAATATACATATAGTATAACAAAATTAACTTTAAATTTGTAATAAGCTAAAATCTATAGCAATGTAAAACATTTTAAACAAGTTGTTGATCTTTAAAAGTAGATTCAATAATTTACCCTTTCATCCTACTATATCTATATCATATCCCCCTTTTTTCTTTAGAAAAATATTGACTATGACCAATAACAAATTGTAATCGATCTCTAAACAAAGACAAATATTCATAATCCAGTGTTTGGGAATGTGGGCACAGTTCTCTAGGCTACTTCCTGCTGATTGTGGGCACTGGTAGTCTTATGGGGATCTTGAGAAAATTCAAGATAATAGTCAAGTCCTGGGAAGACCAGCTATAACCTGTAAGGTTTAGGAGGTCTGGCTTGATCAAATATGATCCATCTTAATCTGGAACAAATCCATAGCCTCTTGCTTCCCGTGGAAACAAAAGCAGAGCCTCCTTTCCAAAGCAACATATCCTTAGATCCAAATTTTGAAGTCAAGATACCCTTTAAAATACATATATTCATTTAACTTAGCAACCTTTATAATCACATGTCTCTCTCCAGTTAAAAATCCCAACGACAGGACAATCCAGATTCTCTGTGTGATTTCCATTTTTACATGGCTTATTTTTTTATATTACTTTTACTGTCTCTTTAAAGACTTTATTTTTTTTAATTATTTCTTTACTTAACTGTCTATATTCATTTTCT